GGGGGGGGGGGGGGGGGGGGGGGGGGGGGGGGGGTGGCATGTAAGAGTGGCTCTCTGGGAGCAGTTTGCATTGCTGCTGGACCACCGTGGCGCCTTCCCAGCATGCCTAATCTCCCGTAGATACAAAGTCAACAAAGCATTTAGACGACAGGGGTTAATTCAAAGGGCTTAAGTGCAGTTTAAACTCCTCCTTGATTAATTGCTGTGGCCCTCGGGGGGGAGGATGGCCACAGTAAGGCTCTGAATGGTTGTGCGACCTTCATGCCCCCACACACGCACCTGCAGAGCCAGTAAGGTGGACTGTCACGTCTTTAGAGAGGTGCTGCACTGTTTCATCACTGTCTATGGTACCTGTTAGCTGAAGCAGCAGAGGACAGATGGATCTGCTCAGCCACTAAATGTTAAGTTAAAGTTTAGATTTAACAGCAGAAAATTAAATTAGAGCAGCATCCTGCTTGCTCATAACTGAAAAAATCTCGAGGGGAATCTCGAGTCAGTATTCCGCGCGGCCTGGGGAGGGATCCGCCGGGTTTCCCCCGACGTCGGGATTCTGTCTGCCGTCTCGGAAAGCCACAAATGCCAAACAACTGTGGCCGTCCCCTGCCTCTCACAAAACCAGATCTGAGGGACGCTGCCATGCTGTTTGTGGTGTGTCAGTCGGCCTGGCTCCCTTACACTGCAGTCCCGCAGAGGAATCCTCTGTGTTGCACTTCAAATGGACCACTACAGAGACGCAGGGCCCCTGTGCAGCCATATGTCCCTCAGATGGGGCCCCGTCAGCACCGGCCCCTCACACCCACAGCTTCCTGCTCTGCCTCCTCCGCAGGCAACGGTGGAGCACAAGTACGGGAACCTTTGGAAAGTTTCACCCCAATTTTCACCCCACAGGTGAAAACACAGTCTCTAATGTGATGGGCCCTGGGCAGGGTGCAGCCCCCCTCCCGCACTGGGCCCGAGAGCCGGCAGCTATGTGGCGCCAGGTGACTGTGACTCTGAACCCATTGACTGACTCCGGTTGCTCCTCATCCCCCAGCAAGTCGGGCAGGTTCTACCTGAGCACACGGAACCTCGCACGGATTCCCCACATACAGAGCGCACGTGCCGGCCACATGTCTCAGCGCGCGATGTCATGCAGTGGACCCCCCCGTCACCCCGCAGGCCCCTCACTCGCTCAGTGCTTTGTGGGTCTGTGCTGTCATGGTGAGGGACAGTCCTGTGGCATTGTGGGTAACAGGCTCCAGCTGTGCAGAGAAGGGTACAGCTGGGGGGGATATGTAGCATGGGGTTTTGGGATGGGAGATGGGACACCAGAGGTCCCCGCCCGTGGATTTCCTACACCCCCCACCCCCCAACTGCTGCCTGTCCAGCCCCCTCCCCCTTCCAGCCTTGCTGACGGAGCAGTCCCTCTACCTCCCTGTTTTCTTTTCTTTATGAATGGAGAGTAAAAATAAAGCCTTCCTTTCATCCTTTCATCCCTTCATCTCTGTTTTTACGGGGGGGGGGCAAGGAGGGGCTGCTGCATACCACATTGCACTGGCAGTTAAGCGTGACAAAAGCCAACGTGCCAAAGGAGCTCGCCATCTGAGGTGGGGCGGGGGGGGGACCAAACCAGAAACAGCTGGATTTCAGGCCGTCAGTGGGTGGAGTGAAATATGTCAAACAGAGTCACGGGGCTCGCTGGACCCCAGCCAAGGCTGCAAATCACCGACGCCCCCTACAGGCTGCCTGCTGCTCCGCTTTCATCCCCCGGGGTGCCACGGATTGGGTGTGACGGAGAACGAAACCGCTGCAAGCAGTGCACGGGTATTCGCCTGAGGGATAAAGGCCAGAGTGGCACCAAATGAAGGACAAAACACTAGAAGACACGGAACCTTAGTGGTTCTCCCACCCACATGGAACAGTCCAGTCTGATCCTGTCTTCCCAGGGAGACGGGGGTGTGTGATTGTTAAGTAATACTAAACAAACAGCAGCCTGGGGGTTCTGCAGGCTGGGGGCACATTCTCCACTGCCCCTGTATTATTCCTGGGAGGAGGGATGGAGAGGAAAGGGGGATTAGACATGTCTGTGGGGGAGAGGGGGGCATTTCTGCTGTGACGCTCGGCTGGTGTCTTCCTCCAGCTCAGAATGCAGCAGTGCAACTGCTGGCAAAAACTGACATGGCAGCACCTCAGATGAGATCTAGGGCCACCATCGAGTCAACAGCCAATCACAGAGCCCGGCTTAGGAGGGCCACCATCGAGTCAACAGCCAATCACAGAGCCCGGCCTAGGAGGGCCACCATCGAGTCAACAGTCAATCACAGAGCCCGACTTAGGAGGGCCACCATCGAGTCAACAGCCAATCACAGAGCCCGGCTTAGGAGGGCCACCATCGAGTCAACAGCCAATCACAGAGCCCGGCTTAGGAGGGCCACCATCGAGTCAACAGCCAATCACAGAGCCCGGCGTAGGAGGGCCACCATCGAGTCAACAGCCAATCACAGAGCCCAGCGTAGGAGGGCCACCATGGAGTCAACAGCCAATCACAGAGCCCGAGGGGATTATCGGGAAGAAATGGGGGGGCCACACGGCAGAGGGAATCGCAACGGCAGCGCTTTCTGGGACGTCAGGAAAACTGGCCTTGGAAACGCCGAACGGCGGCACCTGAGCAAAGGAACGAGTCTGTGAGACTTGCTGCAAAAGCTCATGAAACTTAACCTCCCTATGAACTTAAAATATGAAACCCCTCCATGGAGCTCTTATCAACCCTGGGGGGCAGATGCAGCGTCAGGCTGAGCCACAGATATACGAGAGGACAAACAGTTCCACCCCCAGACTCAAGGCCGGTTCCAAACCTCAGACCCAGGGCTGATAAACTCTGCTCAGACCCCACCTCCCCTCACTCCCTCTCCTGCTCAGCACCCCCTTGTAGTGTGACGTCACACATCATGAATTTAAGGAAAGATTCGCAGACCGCGCATGCAGAGTGACCCTGAGCAAAATAAGCAGTTAGGGGACGGAGGGACGGGCAGACAGGGACCGCGCGTGACACGGACGGGCAGACAGGGACCGCGCGTGACACGGACGGGCAGACAGGGACCGCGCGTGACACGGACAGGCAGACAGGGACCGCGCGTGACACGGACGGGCAGACAGGGACCGCGTGTGGCACACCGACTCGGTCTGTCCATTGTTTGTGTTTATGACACTTCCTCCATGTACCTGGGGGGGGGGGCAGGAGAGCAGGCGCATTCCTGAAGCCCGGCTGGCTTCCACGCGCCAGAGAGCCTGTCGTAAACGCGACTCCCACTGCGATGCCGAGCAGAGTGGGGGGGGGGGGCGTGGGTGATGAGGTAGTTTACAGCTGGTGTTTACAGGAACTTTTTTGGACTTTGACCCCCGACAAACACAGGCAGGAAACAAGTGGGGTACCGGCAGCATGGTGACAGGGTTGGCCCAGCGGTGTTGTCGGCATGGCGACAGGGTTGGCCCAGCGGTGTTGTCGGCATGGCGACAGGGTTGGCCCAGCGATGTTGTCGGCATGGCGATGGTGACTCAAATTGTAATGGTTAAATATTCAGTGGTGGCAAATGTTTATTCCACAGTGTTTATGGGATGGAAAGACCCTGGTGCATTATGGGAGGCCGGTTTCACGGCTGCTACGAAAGTCACTGGCTTATGATTACCGAGTGGCTTTGGGCTTGTGGTCCAAACATATAACAGGCACTTAAAATTAAGTGTCAATTGATTTGAATAATTTAGCACTTTTTTGTTTAATTGAAAAATAAAGCATATATACATATGTAATTCAGATAAATATGATTTATTTTGAAGATGCCTTTATCCAAAGTGACACACCAGAGAAAGCAGAGTCAGTCGCTGCAGCAGCTGGGAATTGGGGGCTTTGCTCAGGGACCTAGTGGTGGCTTACAGGCATGATGTCCTAACCCTAACCCTAACCCTAACCCTAACCCTACTGAGCCCCACGCCATTTAAATTTGATGGATGTTTGCATAGACTGACTTTTCCGCCTGTGCTCAGTCTTGTCTGTTGACCACCATGTCTTCTAAATGTGCCTTTGCTCCTGCTTTGCAGGTGAACCGGCCGCCAGCGGCACCATGAAGCTCTTCCTCCCTGTCCCGCTGATCTCCTTCCTGCTCCTCCTCCCGCCCGGCACACTGGAGGGCGCCTGTCCCCAGCATTGCAGCTGCCCGACCCCCACCTCCATCTTCTGCAGCCGTCGGCGCTCCTCCGTCATGCCCCGGGGCCTGCCCTCCACCATCAGCAACCTCTACGTTTTCCAGAATGGAATCGAGATGCTGAACCAGGAGGACTTCTTGGGACTGAACAGCCTGGAGATGCTCGACCTCAGTCAGAACAGGCTGACCGAGGTTCTGGACGGCACATTCTCTCTGCTGTCCTCGTTGCACAACTTGGACCTGTCCTCCAACCAAATAACACACATCTCCCAGCATAGCTTCTCTGGGCTACTCCTCCTGGAACGGCTGTATCTCCACAACAACCAGATCCAGAACATTCACCCAGCCGCCTTTGACAAGCTAGACAAGCTACTAGAGCTCAAGCTGCAGGGGAACCAGCTGGTGGTTCTGCCTCCACTGTACAAGTCCAGCTTGCTGCTCCTAGACCTCAGCTACAACCCCATCCAACCTCCAGACCCAACCGACCTGCAGACACCCAACCTGGAGACACTGAAGATGGCCGGCCTGAGACTGACCGGTCTGAGCGAGGAGCTCATGGCCATGCTGGGAAACCTGCATAGCCTGGACATTTCTGATAACCATTTGAGGGCCGTGCCACCGGCCATTTGGGAGGCGCAGGGGCTGACACGACTCAACCTGTCCCGCAACCCAATGGGCCTACTGAAGGCCGAGGACTTCCAGAACTTAGAGATGTTGCAGAACCTGGACATCAGTAACCTCAACCTGCAGGGCTTCCCGGAAGGATTTGCCGAGTTCCTGCCCAAACTCGAGGTCTTGACGGTGGCTGAAAACCCCTTCAACTGCCAGTGCTCGCTAGCCTGGTTCCCCAGCTGGCTGCGGGGCCGGGAGCTTCAGCTGGGCAGGACACAGGAGACCCGCTGTCACTTCCCGCCGCTGATTGCCGGGAAGCTGCTGGAGAATCTGGATCACGGTAGCTTTGGGTGTCCCACAACCACCACCACCGCCTCCACAGCCAGGAGAAGCACACCCCAGCCGCAGCCACTGACCACTCGTCCCCCCACTACGCACGGCATCCCCCCACCACCTGCCAGCGACAAACCCTCTACCAAGACTGAGATCTACGTCCCACCCCCTGTCCCGGCCTCCCCCAGCAGCGCCATGGATGCCGAACCCGGCCTATACTTCTGCCCTTCGAAGATCTGCCTGAACGGGGGCACGTGCCAGCTGGACCAGCGCGGGAACCTGGAATGCATCTGCCCACGACAGACATCGGGAACCTACTGTGAAATCATCGAGGACCCCCCGCCGCCGGACATCTCGGCATTGGAGCCCGACATCATCCCCCGTGAGGTCACCAGCACCACCATCTTGCTGGACCTGCACCGTTACGTAGAGCTCCGCCCATCCATCAGCGGTGTCCGGCTGACCTACAGTAACCTCTCGGGGCCCGACCGGCGACCCCTGCATCTGAACGTGCCCGCCACCTACCAGGAGTACACTCTGCGTGGCCTTCGGCCCAACTGTACCTACTCAGTATGCGCCAGCCCCCTGGGGGACTCCAGCGGCCGGGACAGCTTCTGCACGGAGGCGCGGACCACCGGCCTGATGTACTTCAGCCCGAAAGCCCGGCTGCATGGCACCCAGCTCACCACCACCCTGGTGCCCGGTCTGGTCGCCCTGGCACTGGGTATCGTCTTGGCAGTGGTGGTTGGCGCGGTGTGCTACCTGCGCAGGAGACGGGCCAAAGAGCACGCCGACTTCAGCTGCGAGCCGCTGCCCCTGGAGCTGGAGGGGGTGAAGGCCGACCCGGACAGCGGGCCACTGCCGCAGAAACAGCCAGAGGTCACGTCGACTCCGCCGGCTGTGCGGAGCAGCCTGGAGTATGAGCTACCGCTCATGCAGGCCCACTGCACGGCCAACAATAATGCGGCCGCTTTCAAACCCTCCTACTTGTGACCTTCGGCCCATTTTGGGACGCCACCCAAAAGCGGCGGTCAGCTTCTCGTCTTACTCGGTCAGTAGCACAAAAGGCGCCGAGATGCCGCCGTGGCGGAGAAGTCGGGAGAGAGGTGAGGGAGACATAAACATTAACCAGGACTGAAGAAACGCCCGACTCAGTCACATGCAATCAGTATGGACTCTAAAGGACCCTACCGGGGTGTCCCTGTGGTGCCTGTCTCTTCACAAGTACTTGCCTCCTGCTCGCCGTGGTCACGCACCGTGTTCCTACGGGCATGTCGCCAGGGCAGCACCTTCTGGGAAAGACCCGGGTGGGCAAGGGCACCTGTGAGGCGGAGTCTGAAGCCGGCAGCTGGCTCTCACCCATGTGACACTTTCACTCACCCTCATTAAGGGTGGGACCTGCACCGAAGGCGAGTTCCCGGTTGCCCGCGTCTAAGGAAGCAGAACTATTAGCAGCAAAGTAAAGATCAGAAGCAGCTCAGCACTATCTAAAGGGCGTTGACCCTAATCAACGTCATGTGATCGGAATGAAGGGGTAAATATTAAAAAAATAAAGAGGTAAACTCTTGGACTTGTTCGACCTTAGGGTTATCTGAAGGTTACGTTTTTGAGTATATCTGGAGTATTGTGCTGTTTTCTCTTACCCTTAAGATTTGACTGTTACCTGCCCCTCTTGCTTGTAACTTAAGGCACTAATCAGTAGGTTAAACTCTTGCAGGATTAAGACCTGCCCGTGTGACAAAGTACATCAGTCTGTTACACAAACGGCATCTTGTTTGAAGGGAGGCGGGACTCTGCATCCCTGAAACACCCCCCCCCCCCCCAAAAAAACCTCAGAAACCTCCCAGATATTGAAAATTTCCATCACACAGACGACTGTTATTGTGTGTTATGCTGTGAACCGACGCTAAACCCTTCTCAGCTGCGAGACAGCAGTGCCGTATGAGAAAAACAAACACACAGGAATCCTCAAAGGCCTTGTTTGTTGTTTCTGTCACAGTGAATTCAGTGAATTTTCCTCCCAGAACCACAGCTTGTGAAAAGCTCTGACCCGGCCGGCTAAGACGGCAGCAGCACAAGTGGACTCATTCTCCCAGCATGCCGCTGTGTGACAGCATCACGGCCTCGCAGGGAAGAGGCCACGCCCACATGTATGTAATGTGCGTTTTAGCCCGTCTCCAACGGGGGCAGAGGAATTCAGAGTGCCACAAACGAGCTTACACGCCAGCTGCCGTTTTACTGGCAGAACCTGCACCTAGAACCTGCTGTAATGAGACAGAGAGACCTCCGCTCCCACAGAAAGGCCCGGAAAGAATGATCTTCCCACGCACAGCATGTCGAAACTCTGAAAACGAGCCTGCAAAGTGCCTTAAAATATAGTTCACCACTGTGCAGGGACCACACATAAACCATTAAATTAAAAATAAGAACAAGGTAAATACAGCCCCCTCCCGGTGTGTGTGTTTGCCTACACCTCCACACACACACCGCTTAAGCAACAACTGGAAGCACAATGCAAAATGCTGCAGCCATAGAGACAACCTGATGTTTGTCACTAGCGTGTGTGTTTGTGGTTCTGCGGGAACCGCTGAGTGGATCCCCCCAGGCAGACTTTCAGGACCCTGCAGTATTTTGAGGGCCCCTGACTGAAAGGGGCCCCTGACCTGGGATGGGGAACGAGGAACGGAGGGGAAAGGGGGCAGCTTCATTCTCCACGAAGGAGCTGACGGTTTGCCCCAGGAGCCAAGGGGTGGAGGTGCCGGGGTCAGGAGGAGGGCAGTGTCTGGCTGGCCTGAGGAGTGTTCGTACTGTTCCAGCACTTGCCCTGGGGTCAAGCACGTCCATTCGGGACTGGTCTGGGTGACACCTCCCTTGAAGAAGCCCCATTAATCAACAGCGTAAACCAGTGGACTGTTTGGCAGGGAGCTGGGAGGGAGCAAAGACACGGAGCGTCTGTGGGTTCCTGAGGATGGGATTAGGAAAGACATAGAGATACTGGCCTCTAGCGTCAAGAAAATGTGTGAAGAAAGGACAGAAACCAAACACACACACAGCTCCAACTGGAATCACTATTATCACGGCATGAGGGATTGAAAATATGTGAAATGTTTTCAATAAGCTGATTTTTTTCCCTGTTTATTTTGGGAAGCCGTTTTACTTTCTTTTGTCGCTGCCTTACTGTCCGTCCATATCGTTTTAGCGAAAACGTATTTTGTAAGAAACGCGCAAGTAAAAAAGCAATAAAAATGTGAAAACCAAACGCCGCTGTCAGGTGTTTTTCTTTAATATCCCTGGTAACTGGGAGTACTGGGCGGCCAGCAGGGGCTGGTGTGTAGGAGTGAGGAAGTGAATTTTGCAAGTGTCGAACACCCCCCCCCGAGCCCTCTCCCCCAGTTTCTGCGTTGCAGTTTGCTGGCCTCCGTTGGACTCCAAAGACTATTTCTTTGTCCGCTTCCTGCAGTTTGATTCCCTTGCAGTGTGGTCTTACCCCCTCTTCCTTCCTATATCACTGCATCTGTCACTAATCTCTGTCTCTCAATTAGTTACAATTTCCTCGCAAAAACCACAAATGCTTGCAGAAGTATCCACTGTTTGAGCACAGAAAACACCAGAAACAATCGTGGGTCACCCTCCATCCATTTGTTTCCTGAACCTGCTTGTCCTATACAGGGTCGTGGGGGGTCCAGAGCCTATCCCAGAGGCTACAGGCGCAAGGCAGGGAAAACACAGGATGGGGCACCAACCAATCAGAGGGCAAAACTCACACCATTCACTCACACAGGCACACCTATGGGCAATCTGGTCACTCCAACTCCAACATGCTTTTGGACTAGGGGGGGGGGACCTGAGGAAACCCCACGATGACACGGGGAGAACAAGCAAACTCCACACACACGGGGAGCCATGGCGGAGACTCGAACCCAGGTCCCAGAAGCGTGACAACACTGCTTTGCTCACCGTGTTTGCTTTGTTAAAAATGTTACGGATCCTACGATCACAGGACTTCAGATGTTGGCTCTGTGTTTCCGCTTTGTCGCATTGCCCTGATCTACAGGAACACTTATTATTTCGCAACTTTAACTGCTTCTATCTGTGAAATCAGATGCAGTCCTGGCCCCTGATTGCCTTTTGACTAACAGGAAAGCCATTCCTTTGAATAATAAGGTATCCAGCACAACAGCACTAGCAGGGCAACTGGCTTCTGAATTCTCTGCCACTATATTCTGGTTAAATGGAAAAATATGAGATTACTCTGAGTAGGCTTAGCACACATGAACATTAAACAAAGATTAGGGTGGAGACTTCCACCGCTTTATCTTACTGGAAAGGTGGTCGGGACAGTGCTCTGTCTGGCTTTGTAAACACGCTAATTCCGTGTTTCTCAACACAGTCCGCATTTTTGCTCTGTCCCATCTCCCGGCACAGCTGAAGTCCTGGTACAGTGTGCTGGTAGCTGGGAGGGACCAAAAATGCAGAGTCTGGTGGTCCCTGAGGACTGGGTTGAAAAGCACTGCTCTAATATACTGCAAGTTTATAACCACAACCCTAAATTTCTCCGAGAAATTCGCCGAACACCACAGCAAATCAAAAAAACGTGCGTTGTATAAAAGTGACAGCTTTATGAATCTCTCTGACAGAAATATGTATCAGCGATAAGATCACAGGCATGTGGCCAGGTGCGTGCAGCTAGTGACTCATCTGCGATGCATCAACCGCTGCTGTTTTTTTCTACAAATACTCAGTGTCTTGGTTTATTTTTTCTTGTTAACTTAAGTGAACTGGCCTATTTATGAGTTCAAATCACCCACCCACTTGTGTGCAGGACTCGACACCTATGACGGTAACAGAGACCCATCTGCAGATAATCGGAAAGTCCATGTCAGGCATTATAACTCCCCCTTCTTCCTGTATGCGGCGGCCTCTGGGGATATCGCTGGCAGGAGAGTATTAATCATCTCTGCTATGCTGATGACATAGGACTGCATCTATCTGCCAAGCCGAGTGCAATGTTTTTGTCACTCTGTCACCTCGAGATCTGGATGGCACAACATGTGTCTTTTGACAGAACCGAAATCACGTCAGTCGCCCAAAAAGTTATTCAGGCGTTAGTCTCGGTCTCAAGGTCACGTGAACGCGACGGTCCCACCTGACCAAAGAAAAATCTCAGTATCTCGACAGAGGAGGAACTTGCGGCTCCTGCTTAGATTAGACACGCATGTAAAGCGTCTCACTATCGATTTGTGAATACGGCCAAGGTGAGAATACCGCTGCACACGTGTTTGGGTCCTGCAGTTGAGGTTAATGCATCGCTCTGATATCTGGCAGCAGGAATGCTGCGGCCGCGACTGGCCGAAGAGCAGAAACACGTCAGCCGGCGCTGGGCTCCCTGCCCTGGCTGCCCACCAATCAGATCTGATTATGAAATCCTCCCTCCCACCTATAAACCCTTGGCTCCTATTTCCCCAGAACCCCCATCTCCCACTTCACTCTCGCCCCATTACTGGTAATCATGTTCCAGAAACTGTCAGAAATTATATTCTTTATTATTGTTATTTTCCGGGATAATCTAGCTGCTCACATGTGGGATTTAGAAATTAATATTTGTATTTTCAGGTCTAAGTGAAGATTACAGTGATAGCCAACATCTCAGGCCCTCCTACAGCTCGTGGTGGGGGGGGGGGGGTCACAGTTCAAGCTGCAGTGTATGACCCCACCAGACTGGGGTGGGGGGGGGGGGCAGGGGATCCTGACCCCACAACCATCAGGGCTGTCACCCTATTTTGCCCCCCCCCGCGTGACTTCCCATCACAGCTAAGCTGGCTAGTGTGGTTCAGTCTCCTGCACAAACTACTGACTTGTAAAATAGCAGCAGGTCCATTGCTTTCGTACTCAACTTCGCCTCCTACTGGATACCATCTGGCCCTGAACCAACAAAACATCAAATGGACCCAGACTGATGGCCCGTCTAGAGAATGGATCCGTGCGTGGGCGTTATCCTGTGGAGTAAGGTCTCTCTCAGATACAGTACCTCTCTCTTTCAGGCCCCCCCACTCTAACTCTCTCTCTGCTCTTCTGCAGTCAGGCCATTTTTACACATTTTCACCCACTTTCTCACTTGAACAGTTTATTAAACTGCTGTTTCTCACTACACTGCTATTCAAATCACCCAGCCTCTCTCGCCAAAGGGTCAGCGATTTTCGGCTATTTCTGATCAGCCTTGGAAATCACTTCTTTCTTTGCAAGAACAGTATATACAGAAACTTAAAGAAAATCTGAGCGATTCATTTAGCCAGCATGAGAATATTTAACAGACTTCCTGTCCCCCAGCCCCCAGCTCCCAGCCCCCAGCCCAGCACCTAAGAGTTCAATCCATTGAGTCGCCTGGGCTTTTTGGGAAAATGCGCAGCATTCCCGTTTTCCTACACTGCAGCTTCCAGAAGCCGAATGCAGAAGTCGCGCAGGAGTGGGGTTCGGTAACTGGGATTTATTAGGGCTACTGCAGGTGCACCGGGCCGAGGGGACGACGGCGTCCTTACAGAGCGACTCTCTGAGTGCTTTACAGGCGACTGGGACGCCTCAGGGCCGCGTTCCACTCAGGTGAGGCTGAGCGGCCGTCACGCGCACTACCCATGCTCACCTACAGGGGACCTGCTAGTACGCGAGTGTGGCCCCATTTGCCGATATCCTACTCTAGGTGCTGCCACTCGAGTGCAGCACGGCCTTCTGGGACTGAGGGGTTAGGGTCTCTTGGGGCATGGAA